ACTTCAGCAACGACATCAAGGTGATCACACACACACACACACACACACACACACACACACACACACACACATCTGGGCCTTGTGTATAATGCATAAGCAGTCTCAGGCCCAGAAACACAAGCTGGGTTTAAACAACATCAGCAAAAGTAAGTCTAACTCTGTGTTCTCAGAGTCCCGCAGACCAAATGGAGAAAAGAACTGGTGTAGCCGAGTTGTGATCACTTTCATTCTTAAACGAAAGTAAAATCAGCCAACATCAATTTTTCATCGATACCGTACTACAGACAGACTCACATTAAAGACCTTTTCTTCTCTACAATGTGAAGTTTTTGTTTGGCTGTTAGAAGGTAACCTTTCCAAACTGTTTGTTCCAGGATTCGAAGGCGTACTACAACCTGCTGAACCAGGTGGCACCCAAAGGAGACGAAGAGGGAATTCCCCCCATTGCCGTTGACATGTCAGGACTCAGGGTAAGACACCCGAGCATGCATCTGATAGCCATAGTGACCATTTATAGGACTAGTTCACACACGTCAGTCAGTGTTACTGTCCCCTGATTGCTCATAAAGACTCAGCAAGGAATCAGCAGGGCCCATATAAACAAAAACTGCTGCCTCATTTGCATATATTATTTATATTATGCTATTTTTCATTCTTTGTTCTACAAAAAATATCAGAACATATAAAATTCCTTAAAGCCAAAGGCGACGTTCCAAATACGTAAAATACAAACTTTATTGATTAGTTTTATTGCCAAATTTTTTTAAAAAAAAGAACAGTTTAACTACATATGCACAGACCTTTGTTGACTACAGACCTGATTCTTCCAAACATGCTTATTTTGAGTGCAGGAAACTCAGATTTTCAGCTGGTTTTGGTTCTCACATTCTAATGTCGGCCTTGCTGCTCACTCTGCAGGAGAAAGACGACCTGAAGCGAGCGGAGCTCATGCTGGACCAGGCCGACCGGCTCGGGTGCAGACAGTTCGTTATGCCCACAGATGTCGTCCGCGGCAACCCTAAGCTCAACTTGGCTTTTGTTGCCAATCTGTTTAACAAATACCCGGCTCTGAAGAAGCCAGAGAACCAGGACATCGACTGGAGCTCCATCGAAGGTAATGGTAAATGGTAAATGGTAAATGGATGGTTCTTATATAGCGCTTTTCTACTCTTTCTGAGCACTCAAAGCGCTTAGCACTCAAAGTGGGCTTAATTCATATGTGAGAGATTCCCAACTTTCCCAATCTCTGTGCCCTAGTTTTCCTGCCATGGATGTTTAATAGCAGACTTTTTTGTTTGTTTGTTTGTTTCCAGGTGAAACCAGAGAGGAGCGCACCTTCAGGAACTGGATGAACTCACTGGGAGTCAACCCTCGTGTCAACCATCTCTACGCGTAAGACACCTCACCGCTCTTCCTCTGTCCTTCTTTGACATGCAGCATGTTGAGAATAGAAACACATTCTCCAGATTACAACACCAAAGCAGCGTGATGTGTTTGTTTGTGCTGCAGAGACATCGACGACGCCTTGGTGATCTTCCAGCTGTACGAGAAGATCAAAGTACCAGTGGACTGGGAGAGAGTCAACAAACCTCCTTACCCTAAACTGAGCAGCAACATGAAGAAGGTACAACAGCTCAACACAGTTCCAGTCAGACACGATGGCTCTTTCTGTGTCAGTTCTTCAAAGGACTCTCATCTCACTGTTCAAGGGGAAAGACATCCATTTATGATGGATATGAAACCCCCCAAAACATTTTCATCAAATTTGACACCGTGCACCAAATCCACATTGCCTTTTCTAGAAAGCTCAAATTTCCATTCATATTATATGCAAACTTTGGAATGATGTTTGCTCTCCTGATCCCACTATGAATTCTTGAAATACTTCTGTATTCATTCACAGCAGCCAATGATTATTTGTGAAAGATGTTTTCATTCAAAAAATTGTTTCTTTTTTTTGCAACCTCACGACCAGCAAGACATTTGTCATTACGACACATACTATGCATGTTGTAATGACACATTACACATATCTGTGAAAGGATTCATCTGATCTGAGTCCTGTGTCCAGCTGTAAACAACAGGACATCGAATATTTTAGGAATTTCAAGCATCCACATATCCGTGCTGAACCCGAGCCTTTGTTTGTGCGTTCCAGCTGGAGAACTGTAACTACGCCGTGGAGCTGGGAAAGAAGGAGGCCAAGTTCTCTCTGGTCGGCATTGCGGGTCAGGATCTGAACGAAGGGAATCGAACCCTCACCCTCGCTCTGCTCTGGCAGCTCATGAGGAGGTAAAACCTCACTTCACCCACCTCTCACATCTCTTTGGTCTCATCTTCTTGTTTTGATTGCTCTGATCTGTGATGTGAACGTATAGGGCTGTTGTTCTATCCTGATATGAAATCAGCTGATATTTGAATGGGGGTTTGGCTGTTAAAGAAAGCGTGGTAATGCACTGAAGGGTGTATGGAACCAGAAACTATTTAACTTATAGTCTGCTTAGAAATGCCCCATTCAGGAATCTCTAAGCTACCTGTGTGTGCACCCAGGTACACGCTGAATATCTTGGAGGACCTTGGCGATGGGCAAAAGGTGATCGATGAGACCATCGTGTCCTGGGTCAACGACAACCTGACAAGGGCCGGAAAATCCACAATCTCCAGCTTTAAGGTAACACACCTCGACAGTATGGACATGGCCTCCAATTAAATGCTCCAGTGTCAAAGTCTTGATTACATCACTTCCTGTGCACAGATTTATCACGGCTTTAAAGGGAACCTATTCTACTTTTTTCCAGCTCCAGATCTTTATTGCTGAACTTCGCTAGAGTTGCTTTGCATGCTTTGTGGTTCAGAATAATCCAAGTTTATGTTACACTGGGCCTTGATGAAACTGCTTAACAGTTTCTCCTCTGTCTGAAACATGAAGAAAAACCCAACAGGGAGTTTTTGGTTACACTCTGGATGGCAACCAGGCTCATAGCAGTGTAGTTTCACATCTGTAACACTAAACAATGAGAGATTTACATTAACTCTGCTGTTGTTGTTGGTTAGGACCGGTCCATCAGCACCAGCATGCCGGTTCTTGACCTGATTGATACCATCCAGCCTGGATCCATCCGGTACGACCTGCTGAAGACCGAAGACCTGACTGACGAGGAGAAACTCAACAACGCAAAGTACGTACAGCTCTTCTTACAGCTTCTTATTACTTATCAGTTCAGAAATGTCTCTGCATCGCCAGCAGCAGGAGATTTAATCCAACAATTACTGTGTCTTTAGGTACGCCATCTCCATGGCCAGGAAGATCGGCGCCCGGGTGTATGCGCTGCCCGAGGACTTGGTGGAAGTCAAGCCTAAGATGGTGATGACGGTGTTCGCCTGCCTCATGGCTCGTGGCCTGAGAGCCTAAAACCACAATCACTTCCTGTCTGTGAAGAGGGGACCTCTAAGGCTAGCAGCCAAAGGAAATGAGTTGCTAATGCAGAGGCTCCACTCACAAGTTGTGGCTTTAGACTGTAACTTTTTAATGACCAGAAATATTGGATTTATGATGGCAATACGGCTGTGGGACACATTATGTAACATCTGCTGGTGATTGATGTCTTTCACTTATGTTTCTCTTAAATGTACAATAGAAAACTGTTTTATTAAAACCCAAGAAGCTGAAATAATCCCAAGGGTCAAGTTAAACCTCACCTAAAGAGTTGCTTTAAAATCACACAGGTCACAGGTGTGACTTTAAATGAGTTTTTACATAAAAATATGAATATTAGAAAAAGGATCTGTACCAGTCTTGATTTTCAAAGTGTTTAAGTCATCTACAAAGATTTCTACCTCCAGCAAATAAACTAAGGGGAAAAAGTTCAAAGTGTTTCACTGCAGACTTTTAGCTTCAGTGTCTGTTACAGTAGCTGATCCACAACTCACAGAAGAGGACAAATAAACAGGTACAACCAGGAAACAAGCACAAAAATGGTCTGCTAAAAAAAAAGAAGAAGAGAAAGGTTTTGAAGGCAGCTGATTGGAGGTTAAATGTCCATCTTTGTTGCTGTATTAATTTTCCACTTTTCCTCAATCATCTTTTAACTGTGAAGATTGGCAAAAAAAATATTTTTCCACTAAAGACTTAGCCGGAGCATACATACAATCCACATTATATCACAAAGAGTTTTATTTTCTATGCAGAGCTGCAACATTTCCCATTTCATTGTTTAAATTTCTGTGAAACCACAAGTGATCAGTGTAACACAGCCATCTGATTACAAATCAAAATGTTTATATGTGATGTTTGCAAGCAATAAACCAACAATTTTTTTATTACTTTTGTTATTTTTCATCCTGACATTTAAGTGGGGTAATCACTAAGATTATATAGTGATAGTGATGGACACTGTGGGATGCACACCCGGGTCACACTCAGAAAATAGTTTTGTTTTTCCCTGATCTCAGTGGAAAATGTTACAAGCTCCAACTGCCATTACCCTGACACACTAGATGCCAGTATTAAGACTTGCTGCTCACCTGGCCGCCCATTCTTCATTACATGACCCACTTTAACTCTTACCTTCATTGAGGCTTTCAGCACTTGTGGTGTGAAATTAATAGCCGGCGGTACAGCAATTCCCAAAAATGAACATAACCAGTAGACCAGTGTGTGGTAAATGCTAAAGGAGAACTGCAGCGGCGGGATCAGCCAGCTCTTATCGTGGCTGCTGTTCAGATACATCAGTAAAAGTGGTTTTTAGCCTTCTTTGGCAGTTAGTGATCTAAACTGACACCATGTTCACTCTTAGCTATAACTTAATATTTAACAGATATATTCTTTCTTAAACTTTTTAAACTTTTAAACTGTCTACAGGAAATACTGTGTCCGCCTGTATAAAAAAAGATTTGAGCGTCACAGCCATTCAAGTACTCACCATGGCAGGCGGGCAGCACAGGGGGATGTGAGTGACAAGAGAAATGTAACGACAATCCAAAAATACAACTACACCGAGTCAAATAAACAATCTCTTTAATGAAACAAACTCAGGAGGTTTCATTTTCCAAAGGGGAGAGCACTGGGAAAAAAGGAAATGCTGCTGTCCTTTAGCCAGACCTGGACTGTAGAAGATGAGCATATAGAGCAATGACTCAAATTTGAAGGACTTCATAACATATTTACAGTATTTCCTCTGAGCTGCACAGTCTTCTCCTTCTGTGATGTACAGGGACACTACGAGTGTGCATTAGAGCAAACCGTCCTCGTTTAGCTGCTGCTTCAGTCCCGCCCGTGTAGCATCTATGACGAGTATTATTTGGCAGGTTTGGCCTCGGTGGGGTTTTCTCCAGTGTCCAGAGTCTTGAGGAGGCGGAAGAGGCCGGCGGCCTCGCGGATGCGGCTGAACTCGATGCAGAAAGCCTGAACCTCGATGAAGAGGTCCTGAACATTGATAATCTTGTTCCGGATGAGCGACTGCAAGAAGACACAGACCAGACGGACCAGACGATTCTGGAAGAAAGAAAGTGTGATTAATAACACCACACAAAGCATGGTCTCCAATTTACTGGAAAACACATTGAACCAGTTCAGAAGATTCTCATTCAGAGTGGGGTGAGCTGTGCGGTACAGCCCTGTCAACAAGTCTGAGCTATAGTCTGTGTCCTCAAGTCATTCTACTGTTTTATTAGTCTGTTATTTAGTACTTATTAGCAGGGGTGTTTGTTCAACATACTGACTTTCTGCTCCAAAACTTGAGGAGTTCTTTGTTCTTTTATGGAGTTGTTTTTTTTCAAGGATTATGATTAAATATAAAGAAGCATCACTACATTGAGTGTTGTACTCTACCTGCATGTATTTGTCTTTGATTTGCTCACAGGTTGAGATGCAGTTAGAGATGTAGAGGTGGATAAACTCAGGAGGCAAATCCACAGCTGTGGTCAACCTGTGGACAAACCCCCCCCCCCCAAAAGAGTGACATTTCCACTTTTGACAATGAAACATTTAACACCTCTTAAAACAGACCCAGTTTAGTCAGTCAGCTTCTGAATGAGTCATAGCGTGAGTCGAGTTTAGTTTAGAGACTAGAACTGGGCTTACTGACGAGAGGCCGCTTTACTCGAGTCACACATAGCGCAGATTAAAAAGTAACCAGTGACACAAACCCCACAAAACCTCGAAAATCTTTTGAAGACAGGATTAAAAAAAACAAACAAAACTTCATTTTTAGTTTGACTTTTCTAAACTCAGCACACTGACGTCAGTGTTCTGATCATTGTCCTGGCTTTGGTTGTTTTGTCTTTTTTTTCAAATCACACATTTTGCCTTTTTCTGTAAGCAGCTCCACGGCTCCGTGCCCCCACCTGTTGACGACCTCCATGGAGTGCAGCGACATGTCCATGTTGACCAGCACTGAGAAATATTCTGTGATCTGGCTGCTCTGCATCAGCTTTAGCAGCATCTCGATGGCCACCAGCGGGTTGTTCTCAACCAGGTCAGGCAGCTTCACCGGAGACAGACCGATGTGGTAAACCAGCTTCGGGTCCTTCTCCAGCTCAGCCAGCAGCTGCAGTGACAGAGCATGCAGGGAGTTACTGACAAGCAAAGATTTACACGCTGCATTTCAAATACACTGAAGGAGGAAAAAACTAAAAATGATAACTATATTACCTCTGATAATGTAATAATATTAAAAGTTTACATCTGGAAACAAAGATTTTATGCTTTCTTTTGTAAACCCTCTCTTCATAATTCAGGGTCAACGGGGTGCTGGAGCCTAGCCCAGCTGTCCTGGGGTCAGAAGCGAGGTATGCTCTGGACAGATTGCTAGTTCACAGAGCTAATCCTCGGTAACAACAGACTGTATAATGAATCTCTCTGGGTCTGGGAGTGATGGTAAGACAAAAGAAGTTAAGCTTGGATGTGGTTAATTATAAATAATTACCATCTTGTATAAAGATGCATACTGTCCTCCAGTGTCTGGAGAAACAGAAATAAACTCCCACTATCAATCAGCTGTAAACTACCATTTTTATCCTCTGATTAATCCACCTCGTTCCATTTTATTCCTGTTGATTTCACATTTTGACTCTTTTCAAACCATGTTTCAATGTCTTGTCCAAATATATTTGTCTTGTGCTTTTCTCCTTTTGTGAAGGAGCAACTTTAACCCTGAAATTCCTCTCTGGGTTTATCTGGTTGCACTCCAAAGGCAGCTGGTGGCAGCACCATAGTTTCAGTTTAAATAGAATTTCAGTGCCTGACTTTAAGAGAAGCATTAAATGGCTGACCCACCTGTGATTGCTGCTGTGCAGACAGCGGGCTCTTGAAGGCCTTGGACATGATGCGTTTGATCTCCACGCCGGTGCTGTTCTTCACACACATGGAGCGATCCCACTGGATGCTGTGATCTGGCTCGGTGGGGTTCAGCCACGCCAGCTCGTCCTCACACACGTGGAGAGGAGGCGGCGGCCGGATGAACTCAGGGCGGAAGTGACCTGAGGATTAAACAACGATATTGAAACACTTGTGATAATCCTGTTCTGTTTCAGACGTAGCTTTATTCATGGGTGGCGGTCTACTCTAGTAACCATGGCTACATGTGTGCCAGCTTTAAAAGGTGATCTCATGTTCAGAGAGCCAAGCATTGTGTCTCAGGATATGAACAGCAATGAACTGTAATATTGGGACACCACGGCAGAGAGCTGAAGCTCTGATGCACACACTAGTGAAACTACTCAGGTTCTTGTGTGACCATGCTGCTTCATCTGACTTATAAGTCAGATGTGCACTTGAAAGCTGAAAACCCACAAAACTGCCAGCAAAGCAAAACGTTCACTTGTTATTCACACAGCTCCTGTCTTGTAAGCTAGAAGTGAATAACCAGCCGAACTTTTTTTTTAGTGATGAAAAACATGATGATAAGACATACTCTTTTCATGTTGCGCGCGCGCGCACACACACACACACAGACACACAGAAATCACTGACTCAGGGTCTTTGTGTCATATCAAATCATTCTGAAAAAGATGGAACACAATGACCTGCTGAGGTGACCTGCTTTTAATGTTCTTGGTTTTCTGCATAACAAAAGCCTTTTTTGAAAAATGAACAAACAAATCATCAATAACACTTACTTTCCAGCGGAGGGCGTGGGCCTGTGACCAGAGACTCTATGATCTGGTTGGCCACAGAGCTGTCGAATCCTGAGTTGGATGAGTCTGGGTCTGGATCATTGAGAATGCTTGGGAAACTGGCCTTACTCTGAGTGGGCAACTCTGACTGACGCTCTAAACAAGAAAGAGACAGAAAGAGTGAATTAAAACATAAAAGAAACAAAGTGCACTGGAGATTAAAGAAGAAAAAAATTGCCTTTTAAAACAAACCAGTATAAACAAGTGACAGTTTTGACCAGTCACACCTAGTCTTTCAGTCAGTAGATCATTTATGGGTGAGTGGGTACTGACCTGCCAACGCTAGCTGCAACCCGCTGATGTCTACAGACTGGGGCATGTTGCCAACATCCATGCAGGACACCTGTCTGGGTGTCTTTTTGAAGAGATCCCTGGGAGGTGCCAACATCAGTTGGGACAGGAAGAACTTCTCAGGTTGGGTAATGGGAGGCAGGAAGCCTGGACACCAAACACAGGAGACTTCATACACTTCATAATCCCTGATGCCCTCATTTATCATGTTACACAGTCACACTGAGACTGCCAGTGTAACTGGGTGTTGCACTGGCAGCAAGATCTGAGGGCAAATGTTTAACTGAACTGAACAAGTTTGTCTGAAATGAGAAACAGACTGTTTCTCATTTCAGACAAACAGATAGGGACAACATCACATAAGGCACAAAGCACAATCATGTGCCACAGAGACATCACTCGTTTGTGTCTAGAGTATAAGATGCCAAAAATCTTGAGTGGTCATCACTGTTACAACACGACGACTCAGACTCTTAAAAAAACAAAAACACAACCCTCAAATATTGAGTTTAGCTTCAGAGAAAACCTCAACTTTGTATCAAAGCTTATTCACTGCTGCTACTTTATGTCCTGCTCGTTTAGGCCTGGCTGATTTCTTTCTCGGTGGCATAACCAAAGTCAGGAAAAAGCGTTTTCACACGGAGACCTACCGGACAGCACCTTCTCCTGCTCCTCTCCGGCAGGTGCGGGGTTCAGCAGGTGCGCGAAAACAGCGGCGAAAGGGTTAGCGGCCAGTGGCTCGGTGCGGTACATCTCCCACAGCAGGTAGAGGGCGATGAGCCGCTGCGGGGAGCTGGGCAGCAGGTCCGGTTGCTGCAGAAGCATCACCAACACCGAGCCCACCCTGAAGTGCTCCGCTTTCCCGAAGTAATGATGAAAGTGAGTGGAGAGGCTTTCGAAGGAGTTCGTGCAAGCCTCTTCAGAGATGATGCTCAGTAGGTTGGACAGTTCCTTCGGAGCGAGTGTCATGGTTTCCTCAACTGAATCTTTTCTGCTTGGGCGGAAACGTTATAAGACTGTTTTTTTTTTCTTTAAATAGCTAATATAGCAAACACAGCATCCCCGCAACGAACCGGGTGTGTTTAATTCATATTTGAAGAGCAAATCTGAAAAGCTACAGAATGAAAATAATCAAACGAGTTGTTAGCAAAAAGTTAGCTTAACTAGCATTGCGGCGCTAACTGACATAAAGCGGCATTTTCACAGTCGAATATTCCGCCCCACAAACTCCAATCTGCCCGCTGCTGAAACTGCATAACAGTCTTACAAAAACTAACAAAACATTAACCGAATGAAACATCCAAGTTTGTCCAGGTGTTTTCACGACTGTTGAGAGTCGGTGACCGATGTATTAGCAGTTTAAATTCACGACAGTACGTCGGTCATACCGAGCTGCATTATGGGTAATGTAGTTTCGTACAGTGGCGTTTCACTTCCCCCTTAAAATAAACTCGTTTAAGTAATCTATAGGAAAGCAGCAACTTTAGACTCGAAAAGCATGAGGTGTCATCCAATAAAAGTCACTTTTAAAGCTACAGCTGACCATAAAATAGTGGTTTGACTAGATAAAGAACTTCTTCCTTTACCGATCAGTCCTCGCGTTATCATTTCCGGCATTTTGTCCTGTCGAAATAAAATGACCATTGTCGATACACTCTTAAAAGTGTTCTTTCATTGCGTTTTTTTTTTTAAAAAACCTTTAAGCAGGTTTGTGAATATTTTTAAAAAAAATATTCTCAGTTCTTGTGAGCATACGTATGTAATTATTATTTCTTATTTTCACCTTTCAACAAAAAAAACTTAACTCTTCTGTACGCAGTTTCTACCGTCCAGTCTGATAAATACACAACAGTAGTACATGCTTATTGTTAAGACATTTATTTAGTATTTTCACTTAAAGAACATTGTGCTTTCAGTCATGTTCACTTTGGAAAGGAGAAAGCTTCTCCTGAGGCCTGTTCTTCCAGGTAGATCCTGAAGAATGAGATGGGAGAAATAAAATGAAAGCGAAGATCTAAAGAGAAACCAAAGCTCCTATAAGAAACTCAAAGGTGATGAGTGCAATTCAGCAGAGGCGTGTCCAGAATCTTTTCAGCTGATTGTAGGGTGTCTTACTTTCTCTTGTGGCCACGTTTAATGAAATTATTACTATCATAGGAGAGTCTTGCCAGGGGGGTACTCTTAAAATATTTTGTGAATCTCAACCCAGAATTATCCTGTTTAGAGGTTAATGTCTGCACTGAGGGCAATGAAACAGATTCCTGATTTTCTTTTCTTTCTTTCTTTAAAGGCCTTGGAGAAGCTGTCCATAACATTTCACAGTTCATCTCATTTTTTAGTCCACACTTTAAAGGGATATTGCAGGCTAAACAAAAACCAGAGTGAGCCAAAGTTTGCAGCAGCTCAAATTATTTGCTGTTTACATTAAAGACATTCTGTCTGAAGGCTTGCGGCCGTTGTGTTCACATATGAACTTTTTTTTTTTAAACCTTTTCAAAGAGGGTTGTGTGCTGCTTCACACTACACCTTCTGTTCTTTTTGTGCTCCTACTGAGAAGTGTGTAAATTTCTGATGATTTGTATTCATTTTAATCTGGACAACACTTTGCGCTTAAACTTGAAAGTACATGGATATATGAATAAATACAATTATTGTTATCTGAAAATATCAGCTTGGTATATAGGTATTAAAATAATTATTTGCAGCTACACAAGAGAGAATCTTTACCATAAGAGCATCAAGAAAAAAAGTTTTTTTTTCCTTCAACTCAAACATCTATAGGGGAAAACTGTTTCTCATCTTATTTGTTATTTAATTTGGCATACTCTGGTTTCTGTGGTAAAACACCTCTTAAGTTACACTGTACATTAAGGACACACTGTTTTCAGGTCCAAAGTCACTTCAGTCAACAAGGGAACATTTGGTTCTTACTGGTTCTCACACACACGTGCACACAACTCTTCACACACACATATGGCACAAAAATATCCACCTTTTTCTCAGAGTCGGTCTTACGTCCAAGCACACAGGACTTCAGTTAAAGGGCTATTACAAGCAAAAACTGCACAGAAACATCACAACCTCCAGCCGGTCAAACAGACATCATAAAGCAAGCTGGTGAAACTACAGGAAAAGAAAAAAAACAGAATATGGCAAATAAAAATGTCCATTATATATCAGGCATGCAGGCAAACACACTGTAAACTAAAAAAACAACAACAAACAAAAAAAAAACCAAAACAAAACTGAAAACAGCTCCAGAATCTTCTCCTGGTGATTAGATCAGGTCCACTTTACTACACGACAACAAACCCACAATGAGGTCGGACACAGGAGAGCTTAGTTCTGCTGTCTGGTCTGACCTTGGTGATTGATCAGATCTCTTGTGGATTAGATAAAATGTTAGTTTAGTTACACACATACATTTATATCAGCCAGAACTGCCTTTGCAGCTTCATTCAACACAGAACTAACAAGAAAACTTCAGCTACCGGAAAACACACAGTTCCACTTGCAGACGTCACATCACAGCAGGATGTGGTGTGATGTTAAAGGAACTTTCTATGAGGACAGAAGCTCAGTTTTCACTGAATACTGTCCATGAAGAGAGCAGGATGGCATCCAATCAACTTGCAAAAAGGTCACTCACACAACTTCACTGAGTTTAGTGTTACTGAAAATCTTTGTGCTGTTCACTTTGTTTAAACATAAAAACCTTTCTGACCTGTAGTGTTTTCTTTTATCGTTTCCTTCATCTCAAGTTTATCTCCAAGACTCCTCCCTCAGAGAACTCCTTCTTTCACCTCATAAGGCTCTTAGGATTGTTTTTTTGTTTTGTTTTTTTTGGCAGATTGGCACCATTAAAAGTCACGCAGGATTAGCTTTTAACAGTTCCACACTACAGAGTCCATTTGAATCAACATCACTGGCTTATGTCTAGATTTTCAGCTCTACTATTATAAGAATCACTCTGTTGTGATCATGTCTATGATTTCTAAAAACACTTATGGACATTTAACCACACTTACATACTAAATGGTTTCACATCTGTATGATAAAATGGAAAAAAGTTCCACACAATATGTATTGCAAGAGAACAAATTTCTTATGTCAACATCTTAAAATCAATTTCTTGTGATTAAAAAAAATAAAATCAAATGTGTCCTACTCATGTCTTGATCTTCTGGGTGCAGTCATTCATTTTGATTAGTAGGACTTAGATTATTAGGACAATTATCACTTCTGCAGCATACACACATTTGTATGACCGAGAATGCGTGGCAACACCTGTACCATCAGGTCCCACTTAAACGTTCTTTTCTAAAATGTGTGTAGTCATTCTTCAGAGAAACAGAGCTGTTGTGTGGCTGGAAAGCACAGCATTTCATAATTTCTTTGAATTACACTGGGTTGAAAAGAAGATACCCAAAGAACTTTACTGACTTTTTACTTGGTCTCAGGTGTTTTTAAATGAATATCTCACACCTGAAACACCTCTTAGTCCTAAAGCACTAAGGTAAAGCCTGTTATTGATTAAGTGGTTTTGTTTTCACAAGCTCTGACTTTCTTGTGACCAATTAGTGTGAATTTAAGGAGACAAATGGCAACGTGGAACAGGGTCACATTTTCCCTTCTAGTTCTTGACTGCAGCTGTGATTACAGACACGTTTGGCTCAGTCAGCGTAGTGCATGATGGACTCTACGTAGTTTCCAGGGAAGAGACCGGTGGTCGAGTTCATCACTCCTTCAAACCACCCGTCCTCGTTCTTCTTGATGACGTATATGATCGCTCCTTCTTGGAACGACAGCTCGTCCTCCTTGTCGGCCGTGTAGTCATAGATGGCCACCACTGGAGGGCGACAAACACACCAAAGTATGATTACTAAACAGCAGAAGGTTCAGTCATTTCACCAGAAGCAGTGCAGTAAATGTGATTACATGCATTTCAGTTTTTACGCACAAATGGAAACTACTCTGTAACTGCTCACCCCTGTGACTAATGCAACAACTAATCCAATAATATCCAAAGCAATTAATGAGTATAAAAGACATCAATACCTGACTTAAGATTTTTGGGGGAATTTTGGGAATTAGGTTTTCCGAGTAGACAACCTTAAATCCAAGTTGTGTTATTCTACCCGGAGACACAGTTTAAGGCTACATATATGAGCAACTAATTCAAGGAACACTGATGGAGTGATCAAACACAACCTCATAAACAATGCAAACTGCAAGTACTTTGTTGCCTCTGTGTATTTCTGTGGTGTACCTTTCTCTAAGTAGTTCCTGGGGGCCCACGGTGGGTCTTCTTCAGCATACGGGTCGTTATACTCCACTACTGCTGAGTCCTCTTCTTCATGCCCATCCTCAGCTGGCTGAGGAGTGGGCAGGGGCTCCTCGTGCACTACTTGGTTCTCAGTGGCAGGCTGCGGGGGAGGGGGGGCGTCTGAAACTGGAGGTTGGGGATACTTTACACAACCTGAACTGAATCTGGGCTTAAAAGCTGATGATGTCATCCGTTTTGACACACAGATGTTCACGAGAACATTTCTCTGATAAATTACTGAAAAAGAATCCAGATTAATACTCACTGGACTCCTGAACTCGAGCTACAAACCCCATCAGAGGAAGCTGAGGGGTGAACTGGAGCAGGGAGGGGGGCGGGGGGGAGGCTGCAAACACAAAAGACAAAACTTTTACCAAACTTTCTCAATGTGGGAGTGGAGTGACTGGTGGCTGCTTTTATACTGCATACCTGGGCTTTGGTTGTAGTAGGGACCGCCATTGACCTGATTCTGGGTTGTAATTGGCTGACCTGTCACCGATGGGGGGCGGCGGTAAGGCAGTGACCCCCCCACCTGTGGGGTTTGCTGTCGAGGCTGAGGCCGGTTCATACTGTAGAACTGAGGGACGATAGGGCCTGACCAGCAAAGAGGGGCAACGTTATAAACTCATATTTTCTTAATACA